TCCCCTCGTTCTGTTATTATTACGTGTGATCTCATTATAGGGAAATAGGTGTGTGTGTGTGTGTGTGTGTGTGTGTGTGTGTGTGTGTGTGTGTGTGTGTGTGTGTGTGTGTGTGTGTGTGTGTGTGTGTGTGTGTGTGTGTGTGTGTGTGTGTGTGTGTGTGTGTGTGTGTGTGTGTGTGTGTGTGTGTGTGCGTGCGCGTGTGTGTGTATTCACGTAGTTGTATTCACCTAGTTGTGTTTGCGGGGGTTGAGCTCTGCTCTTTCGGCCCGCCTCTCAACTGTCAATCAACTGTTTACTAACTACTTTTTTTCTCTCTCTCTCTCCACACCACACACACACACACCCCAGGAAACAGCCTGTGACAGCTGACTAACTCCCAGGTACCTATTTACTGCTAGGTAACAGGGGCATAGGGTAATGGAAACTCTACCCATCGTTACCCGCCAACGCCCGGGATCGAACCCGGGACCACAGGATCACATCTCCAGCGTGCTGTCCGCTCGGCCACTCCCTCCCGTGTGTGTGTGTGTGTGTGTGTGTGTGTGTGTGTGTGTGTGTGTGTGTGTGTGTGTGTGTGTGTGTGTGTGTGTGTGTGTGTGTGTGTTAGAGAGAAATATATGTAGCAGACATAATAGAGGAAATATAAATTGGTCAGAAAGGCGGGGTCCAAGAGCTAATAGCTCGTGTCTGCAGACACAAACAAATAGTAAATACACACACAACAAATAATCCATTCATTCTTGGGTTCTTTTGTACTTGGCAGCTGACAAAAATCCGTGCATGACACGAGAATAATAATAGCCTAGTGGATCATCAGGAGACACACACAACACAACAGAGATGACGATACTAAAGTGGGTTACAATGACAACAATGACGTCTTAAGTCTGGTGGCAAGACTCGTGACAGGAAGCGGTTGGGCCTTAGCTGCTGCTGTTTGATGTTGTCAACACCGTACTCCCGAGGGTGCTGCTGCTGTTGTTGCTGCTGCTGTTGCTCCTGATGCAGCTGTTGTTGCTGCTGCTGCTGTTGTTGTTGCTGGTGGTGCAGCTGCTGTTGCTCCTGATGCAGCTGTTGTTGCTCCTGATGCAGCTGTTGCTGTTATTGTTGCTTCTGATGCAGCTGCTGTTGCTCCTGATGCAGCTGCTGTTGCTCCTGATACAGCTGCTGTTGCTCCTGATGCAGCTGTTGTTGCTCCTGATGCAGCTGTTGCTGTTCTTGTTGCTTCTGATGCAGCTGCTGTTGCTCCTGATGCAGCTGCTGTTGCTCCTGATACAGCTGTTGTTGCTCCTGATGCAGCTGTTGTTGTTCCTGATGCAGCTGCTGTTGTTCCTGATGCAGCTGTTGTTGCTCCTGATGCAGCTGGTTGTTGCTCCTGATGCAGCTGTTGTTGCTCCTGGTGCAGCTGCTGTTGCTCCTGATGCAGCTGCTGTTGCTCCTGATGCAGCTGTTGTTGCTCCTGGTGCAGCTGCTGTTGCTCCTGATGCAGCTGTTGTTGCTCCTGATGCAGCTGTTGTTGCTCCTGATACAGCTGTTGTTGCTGCTGCTGCTGCTGCTCCTGATGCAGCTGTTGTTGCTCCTGGTGCAGCTGTTGTTGCTCCTGATGCAGCTGTTGTTGCTCCTGATGCAGCTGCTGTTGCTCCTGATGCAGCTGCTGTTGCTCCTGATACAGCTGCTGTTGCTCCTGATGCAGCTGTTGTTGCTCCTGATACAGCTGCTGTTGCTCCTGATGCAGCTGGTTGTTGCTCCTGATACAGCTGCTGTTGCTCCTGATGCAGCTGTTGTTGCTCCGGATGCAGCTGCTGTTGCTCCTGATGCAGCTGTTGCTGTTATTGTTGCTTCTGATGCAGCTGCTGTTGCTCCTGATGCAGCTGCTGTTGCTCCTGATGCAGCTGCTGTTGCTCCTGATGCAGCTGTCGTTGCTCCTGATACAGCTGTTGTTGCTGCTGCTGCTGTTGCTCCTGATGCAGCTGCTGTTGCTCCTGATGCAGCTGTTGTTGCTCCTGATGCAGCTGCTGTTGCTCCTGATGCAGCTGCTGTTGCTCCTGATACAGCTGATGTTGCTCCTGATGCAGCTGTTGTTGCTCCTGGTGCAGCTGTTGTTGTTCCTGATGCAGCTGCTGTTCCTCCTGATGCAGCTGTTGTTGCTCCTGGTGCAGCTGTTGTTGCTGGTGGTGCAGCTGCTGTTGCTCCTGATGCAGCTGTTGTTGCTGGTGGTGCAGCTGCTGTTGCTCCTGATGCAGCTGCTGTTGCTCCTGGTGCAACTGTTGCTGTTGCTGCTGGTGCAGCTGCTGTTGCTCCTGGTGCAGCTGTTGCTGTTGCTGTTGGTGCAGCTGCTGTTGCTCCTGATGCAGCTGTTGCTGTTGGTGCAGCTGCTGTTGGTCCTGATGCAGCTGTTGCTGTTGGTGCAGCTGCTGTTGCTCCTGATGCAGCTGCTGTTGCTCCTGATGCAGCTGTTGCTGTTGCTTTTGGTGCAGCTGCTGTTGCTGCTGGTGCAGCTGCTGTTGCTCCTGATGCAGCTGTTGCTGTTGGTGCAGCTGCTGTTGCTCCTGATGCAGCTGCTGTTGCTCCTGATGCAGCTGTTGCTGTTGGTGCAGCTGCTGTTGGTCCTGATGCAGCTGTTGCTGTTGGAGCAGCTGCTGTTGCTCCTGATGCAGCTGCTGTTGCTCCTGATGCAGCTGTTGCTGTTGGTGCAGCTGCTGTTGCTCCTGATGCAGCTGTTGCTGTTGGTGCAGCTGATGTTGCTCCGGATGCAGCTGCTGCTGCTCCTGATGCAGCTGCTGTTGCTCCTGATGCAGCTGTTGCTGTTGGTGCAGCTGCTGTTTTTCCTGATGCAGCTGCTGTTGCTCCTGATGCAGCTGCTGTTGCTCCTGATGCAGCTGTTGCTGGTGCAGCTGTTGCTGGTGCAGCTGCTCCTGGTGCAGTTGTTGCTGGTGCAGTTGTTGCTGGTGCAGTTGTTGCTGGTGCAGTTGTTGCTGGTGCAGCTGTTGCTGGTGCAGCTGTTGCTCCTGGTGCAGCTGCTGTTGCTCCTGGTGCAGCTGTTGTTGCTCCTGGTGCAGCTGTTGTTGCTCCTGATGCAGCTGTTGCTGGTGCAGCTGTTGCTGGTGCAGCTGTTGCTGGTGCAGCTGTTGCTGGTGCAGCTGTTGCTGGTGTAGCTGTAGGCGTCTGTGTCTTGTAGCAGACAAAAGGAAAAGCTGCAACAAGAACAAAAACAGTAGCATGAACAAGAAAAAAATTACAAGAACATCAAGAACAAGAAGAACAAGAGCTTCAAGAAGAACATCAGGGAGAACAAGAGCTTCAAGGAGAACATCAGAGAGAACAAGAGCTTCAAGGAGAACATCAGGGAGAACAAGAGCTTCAAGGAGAACATCAGAGAGAACAAGAGCTTCAAGAAGAACATGAGGGAGAACAAGAGCTTCAAGGAGAACATCAGAGAGAACAAGAGCTTCAAGGAGAACATCATGGAGAACAAGAGCTTCAAGGTGAACATCAGGGAGAACAAGAGCTTCAAGGAGAACATCAGAGAGAACAAGAGCTTCAAGGAGAACATCAGGGAGAACAAGAGCTTCAAGGAGAACATCAGAGAGAACAAGAGCTTCAAGAAGAACATGAGGGAGAACAAGAGCTTCAAGGAGAACATCAGAGAGAACAAGAGCTTCAAGGAGAACATCAGGGAGAACAAGAGCTTCAAGGAGAACATCAGGGAGAACAAAAGCTTCAAGGAGAACACCAGGGAGAACAAGAGCTTCAAGGAGAACATCAGAGAGAACAAGAGCTTCAAGGAGAACATCAGAGAGAACAAGAGCTTCAAGGAGAACATCAGGGAGAACAAGAGCTTCAAGGAGAACACCAGGGAGAATAAGAGCTTCAAGGAGAACATCAGAGAGAACAAGAGCTTCAAGGAGAACATCAGGGAGAACAAGAGCTTCAAGGAGAACATCAGGGAGAACAAAAGCTTCAAGAAGAACATGAGGGAGAACAAGAGCTTCAAGGAGAACATCAGGGAGAACAAGAGCTTCAAGGAGAACATCAGAGAGAACAAGAGCTTCAAGGAGAACATCAGGGAGAACAAGAGCTTCAAGGAGAACATCAGGGAGAACAAGAGCTTCAAGGAGAACATCAGAGGGAACAAGAGCTTCAAGGAGAACATCAGGGAGAACAAGAGCTTCAAGGAGAACATCAGGGAGAACAAGAGCTTCAAGGAGAACATCAGGGAGAACAAGAGCTTCAAGGTGAACATCAGGGAGAACAAAAGCTTCAAGGAGAACATCAGGGAGAACAAGAGCTTCAAGGAGAACATCAGGGAGAACAAGAGCTTCAAGGTGAACATCAGGGAGAACAAAAGCTTCAAGGAGAACATCAGGGAGAACAAGAGCTTCAAGGAGAACATCAGGGAGAACAAGAGCTTCAAGGAGAACATCAGGGAGAACAAGAGCTTCAAGGAGAACATCAGAGAGAACAAGAGCTTCAAGGAGAACATCAGGGAGAACAAGAGCTTCAAGGAGAACATCAGGGAGAACAAGAGCTTCAAGGAGAACATCAGGGAGAACAAGAGCTTCAAGGAGAACATCAGGGAGAACATGAGCTTCAAGGAGAACATCAGGGAGAACAAGAGCTTCAAGGAGAACATCAGGGAGAACATGAGCTTCAAGGAGAACATCAGGGAGAACAAGAGCTTCAAGGAGAACATCAGAGAGAACAAGAACATCAGGGAGAACATCAGGGAGAACAAGAGCTTCAAGGAGAACATCAGGGAGAACAAGAGCTTCAATGAGAACATCAGGGAGAACAAGAGCTTCAAGGAGAACATCAGGGAGAACAAGAGCTTCAAGGAGAACATCAGGGAGAACAAGAGCTTCAAGGAGAACATCAAGGAGAACAAGAGCTTCAAGGAGAACATCAAGGAGAACAAGAGCTTCAAGAACAAAACCACAACAAGAGACAAGAACAAAATCATTAACAAGAGAAACAGGAACACAAGAACGAGAGTATAACAAGAACAGCAGCACCAAAGGCCATGATAACAAGATATAACACGAGGCGGCAGAACACAACAACAACAGCGGCGTAGGGAACAAAAACACCTACAAGAACGGGGCCTAAAACAAACAAATCACAGCAAACAGAACGATGCTGTTTTAAATATGAGGAGGAGGAGGAGGAGGAGGAGGAAGAGGAGGAAGAGAAGGAGGAGGAGGAGGAAGAGGGGGAGGAGGAGGAGGAGGAAGAGGGGGAGGAGGAGGAGGAAGAGGGGGAGGAGGAAGAGGAGGTAGTGGAGGAGGAGGAGGAGGAAGGAAGAAAGGGGGCGGGTCCCTTAGGAGAATATGGGCGGGGCGAGGCTACCAGCAGACTGAGAGACTCCGCCCATCGGCTCCGATCTTTCATTCCTCTCTGCCTTAGAAGCTCCACCAGACTCTCCGCTCTGCTGCCGACGCACGCACACACGCATGCACGCAGAGACAGCCACACGCATTAACACATGACTATTCCCACGACGCTGTCTTCAAGCGCGCGCGCATCGCCACCCGCCTTTGGGGGGAACGATGTCTCTTGTCTCACGGCGCCAAAAGTGGCCCTTCTTCGATGGCCTTCACACACCTCGCTCGTCTTAAGGGGCCATGTCGTAGCTCTACAAGTCACTCCCGTGTTGGAGGTCGTAGGGACACTTGAGGTAGGAGTCTGTGTAGGTCCTATTTACACTCAGTTATTCTAATTCTTGTTCATGTCTGCCACAAAGTACTATTTTCACACGACGTCCCAGGCTACTCCATGTTTACATACAAAATACACAATGGAGTCTGTATTTGTGTGTATTTTGAGCATTGTTGTATAAGAAGTCGTAACTACGATCTCTAGATGAATGTACACTTGTAAATAATACACACGACTAGGAGAAACTGCTGGTAGTGGGTGTTGATGTATACTACAGTATACTTAGTATACTACAGATATTCGATGATATATCTCCTGTACCCCAAAGTTGATCACCGAGTGCTGTCGGGGCTTGGGGTGAGGGTCTCATGATTTCCAATCCTTTTGTACAGTCAGTGTGGTCTAGCGGAATATTATTGGATATACTAAGGTGCATGGAGCCCTGGCTGTCTGGGGTTCGAATCCTTCAGGGGTGAGGAGTTTTCGGTTGATTGGTGACCATTATATATATATATATATATATATATATATATATATATATATATATATATATATATATATATATATATATACATATATATCAAATAATATATATAATCAAATAATCCCAAATGACTTCAATTCAAACCCAGGTTACTGACTTAGGGAAATATTTCCATAAGAATATTGAGCCATCAAAATTAATATCTCTGGTGATGTGTCCTTTCAAGCTTCACAAATCCTAATTGTGGTTCATTGTATCGGTCCGAAGCCTCGCGTTCAATAAAAATATAAGTTTTCCCCCGTTCGTTTAATCTGGAACAAATGTATTTGTGGGTGAATATTTTTTTGCGGAGTGTGTGTGTTGTACTCGCCTGGTTGTGTTTGCTGGGTCGATCTTCGGCTCTTAAGCCCCGCCTTTCGACTATCAGTAATTCAGTGCAGTGACTTTATCGTTCGTTTTTCTTATCCAATTTACATTTAAAGCTGTGTATCGATTGGCTTCGTCAACTTCCTCATCTAGTCCGTTCCATTTATTTGCGACTCTTAGACTGAAAAAGCTCTTTCTAACAATTATTTTTTTGCTATTATTATTTTCTACCACAGACGTGGCCAGACATTTACGATGCTAACCAGCATATATATATTCATTTTCTTCTGTCCTTCATGGATAGGGGTTAGTGATTTGTTAAACATATAGTTCAGTGTTTTATTGAAGACTCAACCATAGAAGGTGATTTTTTGACTATCTGTGTTCCCAGGTTCCTATTATTTCCTCTTGAATAAATCCACGAGGGCCGTAATGAGGGTTTGAACCTACGTCTGAGAGGATCCCAGACGCTGCCTTAATCGACTAGGCCTCGACATGGTCAAAAGAATTGCAACCGGGAGTTTCACTGGACTCACACGGATATTTCCTCTTGTTCTACTCTTCATTAATCTGAACATTGCTTCTGTATCTACTTTGTCAATCCCCCTTAGTATCTATTATGTCGTTATCATGTCAGTCCTGTTCCTTCTTTCCTCTAATGTAGTGAGGTCCAGTTCCTTCAATCTTCCTTTACAGCTCAGTCCCCTTTGCTCAGGAACGAGCCTTGTTGCATATTTGTCGACTTTTTCTAGCTTTGTTTCGTGTTTGGTTAGATAGATCTGGGCTACGAATGCATTTGATAGGCCTATAAATGCTTGTCTAGGAGAGTTTGTGTTATATTTTAGGTTAGTCGTTTCCACGATTCCGTTATGCCTTCTATAATTTCTGTAATGCAAAATGTGGAGATCTTAGAAGAACAGCGGCTGTCATCTTGTACATTTCAATTCATGTTCTGGGCCTCAAGTTGGGCTCGGGGAGTAGAGAAACCCTTGAAACCCTCTCCAGGTATGCTCCAGGTATGGTAGCATTACGATCTTTGATTTTTGCAGGACATGTTTCCCTTCTCTGTTCGACGCAGCATTTATTTAATATGTATTAATGTAACTGTTAGTTTAAATCACTGTATCGAATCTTCCAAATATTTTGTAAATATTATTACTTATATTGCTATTGAAGACAAACGAAAGGCTGACAATATGCGTACGTGTATTAAAAGCTAAATTTACGGATGTAACCTTCATTATTTCTCAATGTACTGTATACAATGTGCTGTATACAATGTGGGAACATTGTATACAGCGCCTTGAGAAAGGATGCAGGTTTCATCTGAAAATTTGTTTTTTATTGCACATATATTTGGTCTTCACCTTCATTCAAGCACTACCGCATTGTAGTAAGTTGCTCTATATTATTATTATTTCATTCACCTGGGCTCTATAAGACTCGAACCCTGTTCTCCTACTCTGGATGACAATTATTATTATACTTAAAAGGCAAATTTAAGTACAACGGAACAGGCTGTGAGTGTCTTCGCTTCGCAAAACGACAATTGAAGTGCGTCCGGTCGTCATTGAGATGGAAATTGAAATTGAAATTGAAATAAGTTTATTGAGGTAAAATACACACAAAGGGATGAGGTAGCTCAAGCTATTCTCACCCCATTCAGTACAACGTGTTAATATATACATAGACACACATCACAAATATACATATTACCAAACATTCTGAAAGGTAAACATATACATTTCCTCCTTCACAAGTAGTATGTTATCAGACGTACACACAAATACTTTTATGATTGAGATGGATGTATTGTACAAGAGTGTACGGAACAATCACTAAACCCTGTCGAGTAGTAGTGATTGTTAAAGGATTGGTATTACACACAGAAATCACAGTAACGTGATGTATCAAATGAATAATTCTTCTGTCCTCCATAGACAGGGTTAGAGATGTGTTAAACATATAGTTCAAGGGTTTATTGAACAATCAACCACAGAAGGTGATTTGGTAGCCTCGCTATCTCGGACCACCAATCACAATGAACCATTGGTTAAGCGAGTCTGCTTCTGTTCCTAAAATTCAATTTAGGTTATCCTTATCTCTGCCTTTGAAACATTGGGTTGTGTCGTGCACAAATACGTTATCTTCAGCCTCCGTCCAGACTTATTATATTATTATAATAATATTATTAGGTCCTACAGTACAGTAAGGACCTCCCTTGCTGCCTGTCCTACAGTACGGAGGTACAGGGGGGTCCTAGGGTACGGTTCCCTGTAGTTCCTTCAAGTTTATACAGGTGTGAGCGGCTGAAACAGAGCACCTGAAGTAAACCAAAGTTTACGTTGAACAAATCCACAAGGGCCGTGACGAGGATTCGAACCTGCGTCCGAGAGCATCCCAGACGCTGCCTTAATCGACTGAGCTACGGCAGGGAAAAAGGAGTGTAACAAAGTTTACGTTTGTGTATTAAATAACTCTGGCGCCGATTTAGGACGCTGTGTTTAATTCCTAATGTGTGGAATTTGCGTGGTAGTCTTGCATGATCTTCTTGAGATGATGATTCCGGGGTTTAGTGTCCCCGCGGCCCGGTCCTCGACCAGGCCTCCACCCCCCAGGAAGCAGCCCGTAGCAGCAGTCTAACTCCCAGGTACCTATTTACTGCTAGGTAACAGCGGCATCAGGTGAAAGAAACATTTTGCCCATTTGTCTCCGCCTCCACCGGGGCACGAACCCGGAACCTCAGGACTACGAATCCGAAGCGCTGTCCACCCAGCTGTCAGGCGCCCAAAATGATAGACAGGTGCTCAACGTATTGCTGTTGAACGATAGATTTGTTGGCTTTTGTTATGTTTAAAGCTGTTTAAAACATTCTTGCTGAACTTCGCTACTGCTCGTTTTCGAAAGCCGCAGAGGTCATGTAATATTTATGCGTATCGGGGATCAACAAGCCTATTGTGGGCACTTTTCGCTTATTAACGTATTGTACCTGCTGAATGGAGAGAGAGAGATGTCGGTTTTTGTAACCTGTGACTGTTTACTGACAACGACACAATATGAAGCAATGCTCGCATACGCCGGTAAGAGGGCTGATATTAGATATCAACCTCCTAGATATCAATTAGATATTAGATAAAGGTGTTACCATAACATGGACTAACATTTTTTTGTTATGAAGCGTGACTGTTGTAGTTATGCCCTCACGTGATGGAAGAAGGAAGGAAGGAAGGAAGGAAGGAAGGAAGGAAGGAAGGAAGGAAGGAAGGAAGGAAGGAAGGAAGGAAGGAAGGAAGCACAGGCGAGTTAAAAAGATATTGTGAATGTAGAACTTGATCCATCCACTTGAGCTGGTTGGTACAGCGACGGCCTCACTTCTTGCAGGTCGGCGTTCGATCCCCAACTGTTTAATTTAATGGTTTGGGCACTTTATCTCCATTCCTGCCCCGTCGTGTTCCTTACAAGTGCTTTATAGGATGGAAACTTTATACTGAT